CCAAGGCCTTCCTTGGTTTAGAGAGCTGTCACTGGGTAGGCTTCACACACTTTCTTTAATTCCTACCTACATCAATAAATCTTGAATTCTATTATTATTATTTGTTGTTGTTGTTGTCAGGTGCCATCAAGTTGGAACCGACTCATAGCAACCCCATGCACAGCAGAACAAAACAATGTCCGATCCTGGGCCAACCTCACTACCGCTGCCACACTTGACTCCATCAATGATGCCACCTGGCTGATCCATCTCTTTGGCAGTCTTCCTCTTTTTCTCTGACCCTCCACCTTACCCAGCATGACATCCTTCTCCAGCGACTGTTCCCTCCTGACAACATGTCCAATATTATTATTTAGTCTTGTTCAAATTTCAGGAAAGGTCCAAGGTAACATGCAGTAAAGGACTAGAGTAACACATTTACAAAATAAAATGAAAAAAAATTCAAGTAATAAAAAAGAGGATGACAAAACTAGGAACATCCTTTCTACAAGAGCAAAAGAAGGAACACAGTCTTCCAGCAAATGCTGGTTACGTCACCAGAACACAGAGACATATTTTCTAGGCAAAAGTTTTTAAGATGTTTGTCAGTGAGTTTTTAAAAAATTACATTGAACAACAAAATGGACAGTAACTTTAATTGTATGTTTTCAAAACGTGTATTTTCTAACCAAAAAAAACCCCAAAACAAATAGATTAAAAATTTAGAATAGGAAAAGTGTAAATGCAACCTGGAAACATTTAAAAGATGGACAGATTTATAGTTTTACATTATAAAAATGCAAAACTTACTGCCATGAAAGACATCATAGAGTTAAGAAAAATGATAAACTGGTAGAAAATGCTGCAATAAAGTGTTACGATGCATGGGATTTTAAGAACTCCTAAAAATTATTAGGAAAAAGACAAGTTAATTTGGAAACTGGATGAAATATTGTTGTTGTTGTTAGGTGCCATCGAGTCGGTACTGACCCATAGCGACCTTATACACAGCAGAACAAAACACTGCCCAATCCAGGGCCAACCTTACTACCATTGCCACACTTGAGTCCATCTTGTTCGGGGCCTTTCTCTTTTTCTCTGACCCCCCACCTTACCAAATATGATATCCTTCTCCAGTGACTGGTCACCCCTTGACAATATGTCCAAAGTATGAGAGACGAAGTTTGGCCATCTTGGCCTCTAAGGAACAC